CCCCCAAAAAAAAAAAAAACTAAGTCCCTTACCTTGTTGAAGGCGGCCGTTGGCGGGCGACGGCGGGGTCACGCGCGATGGCGGGCGTTGGCAGGTGCGCGTTGAAGTTGCGCGTCGAAGGCCGGCGGACACACAGTGCTGCAAGGCAGGGAAGGGGGGACGTCGGGGGCACATCTTCAGCACGGGGGAGGGAACGGGGGCCGGTAGTTCCCGCCCTCACCGATTTGAAATTGGTGCAATCTGGGCCGTCGATCCTCGAGATCGACGATCCGGATGGGGCCCGATTTCAAATCGATTACCGGCCCCGTTTTTTTTTTTTTCGCGGTCCACACGGTCTATGAAGGGGGCAAAAAGGGCCCCAGCGCCCAAAAAAAAAAAAAAAAAAAACTAGCCTACAGTGATGCGCTGGGGGCGCCCGGTGGCAAACCGGGCGCGACAACAGGCCAGGCGGCCCGGCATCCCGCCCGGGCGACGGCCAGGCCGCCGGGCGGCCGGGGGACCAGCCTAGAAAGAAAGTTTTTTTTTTGGTTTTCTGCCTCCTCCTAGAGGACCCCAAATCTGGGCTCATTACACAGTGCTGCAAGGCAGGGAAGGGGGGATGTCGGGGGCACATCTTCAGCACGGGGGAGGGAATGGGGGCCGGTAGTTCCCGCCCTCACCGATTTGAAATTGGTGCAATCTGGGCCTTCGATCTTCGAGATCGACGATCCAGATGGGGCCCGATTTCAAATTGGTGAAACGTTTTTTTTTTTTTTTTCCCGGTCCACACGGTCTATGAAGGGGGCAAAAAGGGCCCCAGCGCCGAAAAACAAAAAAAGACACCTAGCCTACAGTGATGTGCTGGGGGCGCCCGGTGGCCAACCGGGCGCGACAACCGGCCAGGCGGCCCGGCACCCCCCCTGGGCGATCGCCAGGCCGCCGGGCGGCCCGGGGACCAGCCTAGAAAGAGTTTTTTTTTTGGTGTTCTGGGCTCATTTGTTTTTTTGCGAGTTGGCTGTCAAAACCGGGGGGGGGGGTGTGTAATAAATTGGCTTTGAAGGGGCTAAAGGGGTTTTAAGGGGGGTGCCTTAATGTGATTTCGTTATTTTCTTTTTTATCTCCGATTCTGTGAGGAATTCTGTTGTGACCCTCAGCCAAAAAACGTTTGTATTGCAATTCTACACAACATTTTTTTTTCCGGATTTATTTATTTATTTATTTATTTTTTGGCGCTGGGGCTTCCCGGAACCGTGCCCGGGGGTCATGCCGGGCTGGGCACCTGGCCGTGTACCCGGGCATAAGTTCGGTGCCTGGGCGCCCGGAAAAACAGCTTAGAAAAAAAGATGATTTGTCTGGAGTGGCGTGCCCTATTTTGATTCTGTTCTTCTGAAATCGATAAGAAATCGAAGATGAAGAATTTAAAGAAAAAGACGAAGATAAGAAGGGGAAAAAAAGAGAGTACATCATGGCCTAATCAACTCTCAGTCATGGCTATTGCCTTAAAAATTGCATATGATATGAACAGCCATGATCTGTTGCCCTAAAATTGCATGTAATATGAACAGCCACAATCTACTGCCTTGAACTTGGACGGGATATATGATCTCAAGCGCTTTCCAAAAAGAAGTAAAAAGGTTTTCTTGTCCATTTGATTAATGCTTGCAGATTGAGAAGTACACGGAGGAGAATGGCTGGCAGATTGTGCAACCTCTGGGAAACCATCAGTTTCAGAAAAATAGCTTCCTCACTGCCGCAGTGTTGTGAGTGGAGGGCACCCTCCAATGCCTTGCACAGTGGTTGCAGGCATTGATGAACACAGCGGTAAGAAATTGCCATCTCTCCCCCCTCATGCCCTCCCTCCCCTAGATGTGTATAAGAGACAGGCGCAGCATCACGCGATAGCGCAGCAGCACTTCCGCATTGCCAGCCGCCAGAATGCCTGGCCTGGGCTGCCTCACTTCTTTTATGGAAGTGGCAGCCTCCTGGATGCTGCGTGTGGCCTGGCTGGAAGCTTCCAGTAGCTTC